CTCTACACTTTTCCTTCCTTTATGGAGTCTTCCTCACCCTCACTTCCACTCCAGTCAGGCTGTTTGGGAGCACATCTGCTTTATCTTGAGTTTGAGCCACTTGATTGCATTAGACTGGAGCTGCATGCAGCACTGCCTCCGACGAGGCAAGCAAAAATGACCGTGACTTTTCCTGACAGAGCACCATAGCATAACATACTGTAATGTAATTACTTCTGAAATATAAAATGCAATATGCGTCTCTTTGGGAGGTAGCTTAGATATAACCAAACAAACAGAGGTGCTCTATGTTCACTCATTCACCAGCAGCCGGGTTCATTTGGAATGGAACACCAGAAATGATCCTGATTGAAACTGAAGCTGAATCTAAGTTTGATCTGACTTACTTTATTCGTGATGATGTATTCAACTGGGTCAGGTGTTATACAAGACATGAACTCAGATAGAAGCAAGTGTGGGACTGTCTGAACCAGTTGTTTTCATTGTCCCATATCTATGATCATTGGGAAGTGGAAGGGAAAGGGAAGAGGTGATTATTTGTGTTGCATAGAGGTAACTAAGCAAAGCCTGATTTGGAATTATTAACCAATGGGACTATGACAGGAATAAAGGAAATGCAGGACCACTGAAGTTGTTATCCTATCTTATTATAAAAGGGTTTTTATTTCCAAGTCAGCATCTTATCAAGCATACATTCTCCTAATATTATTTTGTTGTATTTTCGTAGTCAAACCTAAAGCATACCAGCAGTATATATATATACATATACATTAATATTTGGACAGTGTTATTTGACCAGAATGTGACATTTATAAACATACAACATATTCAGAGCAGTTGTTATGGCCAAGGCAGCACACTTACGATATAGAGATGTAGAGCATTGGGACGAACCTAGAAGTAGCCTTTTCAATTATTTTATGCTTGAACTCTTCGACAAGCAACAGTATGGGAGCTACTTTATGCCAAGCTGAGAGTGCATTGTCTTGTCTTGCCATGAGCATAATGTAGAAAAAGTGTCTCTTTCAAGTCATCACAATTTCATGTGGTTTAGTCTATTGGTGTACATAGTCTGTTTCGATGCTGAGGACAGTAACACATATTTCACTAAAAAATTAATAAACAAGATTGTAACATTCAACAGAGCTGAGACTGAGTGTGAATATTCATCACCAACTTTAATTAGATCTGCTATCACAACTATTTTAGTTATAGGGTGACATGGTCATATCGAAGGAAACTGGGATACAATAAATACAAAAAATGTACTATCCAAAAATTGAACACTTTGGTATTCAACCCAACCTTTATGCACACAGGCGACCAGAAAACCCCATAAGGAGTTCATTTTTCTTCTGCTTCCAATATATGTTTTTCTTAACTTGTCACCATCATTTGTATACATCACTTTACATCTATAAATATACATTTAATTTGCTTTACATTCTTCTTCTGGGAAAAAGCCAGTTTAGTTTTTTTTATGTTCACCCTAACTACATTTGGTTTTCCCTGCTTGTTTTGTGTTTGTTTGTTTTTTAAAATTTTGTTGAGTTGAGTATACATTTTCAATCCCTATTTGAGCAGTGTTCAACACACTTCTCAAGGATGTAGGAGAACTGTTTTGCCATGCAGTCTGTAGCTCAGCAAACCATGTTTTCTTGTAAATAAAATGAAAACGATCTTACTTCTAAGTCACATAGAAAAGGCCTTATTGTATTTATGCTTACACTGCAAAACTACGCTGTGAGAACACTGTGCCTGATATTCTGTAACCCTAAGAATGAATAGGATATATAACTTGTCAGTGAACATGTCTTTAGATCACTTCCCTTCCTCTTTATTAAAGACGTGTGTGTGTGTGTAGTAAGTTTAGTCCCTGGAAAAGATAGATAGGGTGTTGCCAACAAATTTGGTACTTTTGCATGTGTCAAAACAAAACTGTCAGCTTAACGCTAATTAATATATTAAATATCACATACTCCTGACTCTGCTAGCATTGTGAAAATAGTTTTTCAGATTATTCTGAAAACATTTAATGACACTGCACATTTAAGATCTATGCTAATTTGTTAGCTTTAATAGGATTGTCTTGCTTTTATTATCTGCTTATTCTTTCAATGATGCATACTTATTACCTGCAGCAGTCTTTTCCGTATTCTTTCCCTCTCACATGTATTAACTAGGTCTTTCATACAGCTCTAACATGTATTAGTTACTCCAGCGGCGGTTTTACAGAGTGTGAGACGTCTTGTGGCTTGCACCCCGATCCAGCTGGGCCAAGACGTCACATGCGTGGCCATTATCACCTCATAAATCTATGCAGATCTCAATAAACTTCTCTTTCAGTCTATTCAATTGTGCTAACACTGATGTGGACTGCCATTAAATTCTAAGGAAGAACAAAAAAAATGGCCTCATTTCATTTTAACTTAGAGCTTTAGGCATGTGCACTGTGTCACACATGGATATGAACCTAATCTTCAAAATGACCAAGAGAGACTGTCTGTCGCTGATGTTGCATACAAACCGTACCCAGCCAAAATAATAGTGCCATTTTAATAATGTTAGAATAAGTGAACTTAAATAGAAGGCTTTTATTTGATTTCTTCTGACCTCTGAGCTCAGCTTTCAGGTGGAAACGCTGCCATTGATTGCATTACCAGCCCCCCTTCTCCTTTGTTACTGAGTCAGTGTTACTGAGTATATTAATATTGACTGCCAATATGCCCCCGAGGCTCTTATATTGGACAGGGTGATTGAAAAGGCAGAGAAAGCAATTTATTCACCAATAAACGTATGTTTAATGGAAGTCATTTTGTTGCCTTAAGAACACATGAAAATGAAACAGCCGCCAAAGGGCAAAAACCCAGTGATGGTGTCAGTAGGATATTGAAATTATTACTGCGGCTGTGGTTAAATAATTAACCACGTTATCCAAGGTTTGGCCTTATTAATGAAATAATTTGATGTGTGTCAAATAAATATAGATTCTTTTTTTTTTATATATATCCTCACAATAATTGGGCAGCATAAATACATCCAATAAACTTTGAATGATTATGACTATTAATAATAGCAAATGTTAAGATCTAAAATGTTTTCTGCAAAACTGCTTGCTGACTTTTTTTAGTTTTAGTCATGATTTAATTAACTCATTGGAGATGTAACACTATAGGCCATGGTGTCGCATAATTAGATTACACTATATTGTTTAAGTCATGGAAACTCCCCTCAGTAGCGCCCAGAAGGGCTCTGAACACAGATGGGAGTAGCAGTGCTGAGTAAAGTGTTTGGCTCAGTGGGTGCGTTGGGTGTAAATCAGGTCAGCCAGGGTTAATCCACATGGATTATCCACAACATTTAGCAGGAGACGCTCATATCTCCTCCCTCCATTCTCAGCGCGCCATCCTGCTCACCCCTGCCACCTTACCGCTGTAAATTTCAGACAGAAGACAGCGCAACAGGACATTTTTAGGGTTCAGGGGAATAATGGGGTCTGACAGACAAATCCCAGAGTAAAGCTCCTTGACTGCCCTGAACTCTCCCCTAGCCCTTCACCAGACTCACCACAGGTAGCCTAATAGGGAACTACGAAGACTCTGCAAGTCTATCTTAATTATGCTCAATTATTCTGTACTATTCTGTGTGCTGTCCTAACACAAGAAATGGTAAACTACGCACGCAACAAAATATGTTACCTGTAAATCAAAGTTGATGGACTGTACCTCTGTTGCCTGCAATGGGCTTGAATACATTTCACTGCAGCCATGCGTTTGGAACATCATATCTCCTGCTTCCTGATGGTATTATTGGCAGCATGTAGTCTATGTCCCCAGGCCAAAACTCTGCTGCTATATACTGTATACATATTGTACTACAAAACCTAGGGATTTAATGCAGGAAAAACATTTCACCTCTAATGCAGATCGCTCTTCTATAAGTGTTTGAGTGTAATTTGTGTGTTCGCCAATGTAAGTAAGTCAGATTTGGTCAGATTGGTCAGACAAGTTTAAGTATTGCACATGTTTTATCAAAGGATTTACCATTAGTGAAAACTAGGTTCTTGTTTTTGAGTTTATAAGATCTTTATGAAAGAGGATTAGGGCCAGATACAGTATAATCTTTTTTCTGACCAAAAGTGATTGTTATTGGGGGCTGGGGGGATCCTGAGATTAAAGTCAGAATCCTGAGAAGAAGTCAGATCTTAGAATTTTTTTTCATGTGGCCCCAATCCTCTTCTGTAGTTCTGAGATGATACACTGTGAGAGAAACCTATTTTTTTATTCCAAAATACCTATTGTTATATTATAAAGGTCCCCAATTACTGTACATACTCTCACATATATGCATTGACTTGCATGGTGATACACTGACCCAGCCAAGATTCTAGAAGAAGTATAAAATTATGACATCAGGCTCCAGGGTTCCAGTATTTCAACAAGTAATATATTGCAGCAACTTCACATGAAGTGTGGTTTTCACTGACCCAATAACACAGTACTATAAGTTGAGTCAGACTGTGTGGTTGGGAAGAATAGGGCCGTTAAGATGGTATGAGCAAAGAAAAGGGCTCATATTGCTTTTTTTATAAAGTATTCACACTGGCTTACAGCTTACTAATAATATGAATTTTAAAATCCTGGAACTTTCTATAAATCATGGACCTGTCTTTCCCTATCGTTAATATTGTTTCATGACATGTGCCTGTTATAGTACTCAGATCTACAGTAAACCAAACCCACAACAGTTTAAAGACAGCCATACTTTTTTGACCTAATGCCTTTTGTTACTGTTTTCATCTTTAACCTATTTTGGAGTTTGTGGCAATGGCTTTGAGCAAATAGGTACTGTGACCCTTGGTTATTTTGTGTTGTCGTTACTGTAAATAAGCTCCATGAAACTAAATGTTTTAGTTTTATGTCAAAATGACATTGGTCACTGTTTTATTTGTATTTGTAATATATGACTTTATCAAATATATTTAAAAAAGATGAATATGTATTGCTTTCATGGCGCCCACCTTCAAGTTAATGTTTAATACATTGTATATGTACAGTATTCCATAAATAAAAGACATGCTCACAAGTAAAACTCATGAGGAAGTGTTAATTTCCTCAGGGTCTCTTTGAGGGTAAAACCTCTGTTTTTAATAAAGAGGCAAATATGAAACTATTTATTTATTTGCAAAAACTCAACCTATAATTATTGTGTTTTTGTTTCCAGCCCATTGGTGCTCTGAATCCAAAGCGTGCAGCCTTCTACGCTGATCATTATGAGACCTGGGAAGACGACCAGGCACCACCTTGTCATTACAACTCCCACTACTCCACAGCTGCCTCCACCCTGCACTGGCTTGTCAGAATAGTAAGTAAAATCACTCCTCCAAGCACCTTCACACTCATTATTGTTCTGTGTTCAAAATCCCCAAAATAGTCAAGCGCCCGAATAGGAATGAAGCCAAACCCACATCCTGAGACAGCTTTTCATTTTTGAGTCTGCATTAGTTGATTGTCACTTGTCAGACTTGATGATGCTGTTACTTTGAGGTCTGTCGGCTTCTGCACAGGAAACAGCTCGACATCTCAATTTGATTGGGCCCGAGTTAGACCAATGGCGCTCAGAAAACACATTTCACAGGCCAGTAAACCGGCATATGTGGACTAAATAAAGAGTGGCTGGGTAATGATTTACAGAGGCTGCTGTGACAGGTTTATGTGTTTCAGGCAACCCAGTGAGCGCTGGAGACATGTCCATCAAGGTTACTGAGCACTGTCCTCATTTACTCTGCAAGAGGAGGAGGAGGAGGCCCACGCACTCTCCCAATCTGTTCCTCACAAAACATGCCCTTTCAACCTGCACGGCTTCTTTGAGTTGCTGTACATTTGATTTTGAAGTCATCTTATTAATTTGAAAAAAGCTTCATAGGGAGTTCGTACTGTACTTCCCCTCCTCCCCCATCATTAGTAGCTAAAGGCTGATGAACTGAAGGAGCTCCCTTGACAGCATTTAGATTAGCCTCTGTGGGTTTGTTTCCACAATCCCTTTCTTCCTTTGGTGAGTGATCCATCCGCTCCAACCGGCAATGGTCGCCATCTCAGGCTGAGAAAACCACATTTGAGCCAATTATCATTATGGCTTATTGTGCTCAGGAAGAACACTAATTAATTTCCCCCCAGGCTTGGATCCAATGAATGACTGATTCCTTTGGACTATCGCAGAAAAAAATGACAATTAAATATTGCAATTTATTCAGACTATTCACATGTATTTGAATAAGCTGCATGGTGATCCAGTTATTCCAAACAGTTCTGATGTTTTTCGTTATTTTAATTATAATGGTTGCATTTGAAATGCAGATCAAGAGGGTGAAAAAGATGATGATGAGGATGATGATGACTTTAGATTTGGGTGGGGATCTTTGATATTTGTGATGTCAAATTTGCTTTCTTTTTAGGAGCCCTTCACCACATTCCTCTTTGGTACCAATAACGACAAGTTCGACCACCCTGACCGCACCTTCTCAGCCATCGCCCGCTCTTGGAGAAACTGTCAGAGGGACACCTCCGATGTAAAGGTGAGAGGCACAACAAAAGCAAATAGAACCAGCTATATGTTATATTTATAAGGATACATGCCTACAGAAGTGTGCCCTTAATAGGGTAGAGGTTAAATGTGTGATCATTATCTGCCTATATATATATTTATATATAAGTTAATATGTAGTTAATATATAACTAAATATGTGATCCTCATTGTCAGACATCTTTTTTAAGCTGGTGTTAGGATAGTGTGAGTATTTCCTTCTGAGGTCAGTTATTCAGTTACAGCAACATATCTACCAGCCAAATTGCAAGTATACAGTATATATAATTGGCAATATAAACATAACCAGACTCTGATTCGCAATGCCCCCCTCCTCAGTTAATGTGCCTCAACACCACTGCAAAAAAATATATACCATTAATAATGAATGCCTCATACAAAGAGCGAATCACAAAGACCATGGTGTACAGGGATACCCTTAGAAATGCGCATTTGATTTATCACATGCAGAAAACAAACTATCTCAGAGGTGGACTGATCCTGTATCTGTGCATGCAGGCACTCATGAGTTTGAACAAAGGCTGTGTCTGAGAGAAAGACAAAGCCCTCCCTCTGCAAATCCACAGAGCAGTCACCGAAAACGCTGAACCCTGCTGATTCGCCTCCATTTTGCCCACTGCATAACACGCAGCAGGAATATGCACTGACCTCAAAGTGTCATATATTTCTAGCACACCCCGCATCGGGTAGTGTTGCCCCGGGCAATTAATAAAGCATTAATGACAAAAGCTATTTAAAATGTAGTCTTTTATGTAGGGACAGGGCTTTTACTCACCAGGATCTGGGGGGGGGGAGCAGCCAACTATGTGAGGCAGAAAGCTGCAAGCTTTCCAACAGCTGAATAGTCAAACGCCACCCTGTTAACAAATACTGCCTACTTTCTACTACTTGTATGTCTGCATGCATTTGTTTTTACACACATAAGATGGCTACTGATCTATTAGGAGAGGCATTGTACTGTGGAGGACAATGCTGGATTACTAACAGTTTTTCATAATATATTAGAACAGTTGTTTGGTTTACTCATGATGCAATAGGGCAATGCTGCTATGTTGACTGATTACATGTAGTGTATATTCTTGAGCTTTTTATAATAATCTCCTTTCCAGTTTTATAATGTGTTCTGTTTTGTCCTCTTACCTAGTTTATAATGTTTTATATTTGTTGTTTTTATTGCACTAATCAATTGCCCGATAAAAATCCTATCCAAAATGAAATGAAATTAAAGTATAGGTTTCCATGCATGCAATCTGAAAGGCAGCCCAACACATAAATGCCATACGCAGCCACCATGTAGGGACTGAGCGGAGGGACTGGGGGTTAAGGTCAGCCTGGGCCCGGCCCACCGAGCGGGCCATCAGGCCTCTGATTAAAAGGCAGCTTGTTTTTACCAGGGTCTTTCCTTCATTAACCCCGGCCTCTTCCAGCAGTAATGACGACAAGACCAAGGGAGGCTAAACCACTGATGGGTATGACCTCCTGAAAGAGCAAGTCAAATGGAAACAATCCTGCACTCACCAAGCCCCTCACCTCCCGTCCACCCCTTCATTATTGTGCATCCATACCTCTCATTTATTCCTATGTTCACACACAGTTATCTTATGCTGGCATGGCCACCATGGGCAACGTGAAGCAGAATTGTCTAGGAAGTAGTGGGCACACACACATACTCTCTCATACACACGCAATAACTGCCACCATGCTGTCTGAAAGAATCCAGCAGAACTCCACCGGTGACAGATTTTGACGAACATGTCATTAAGGTGACACAGTGTAAAGCAATGGAGGCATGTGTGATTGACTTGTTAGCCCATTACGATGCTGTTGCAGAATTAATGGCTGCCATGGGAGGGTGGTTTGAAAACAGAGCTGGCAGTTTTAACGGCTTGACTGTGAGTTACGGCAGGAAGTTTACAAGCAGAGAAGTGGAGGGAAAGTGCAGTTGTGTGTATGTGTGTAAATGTGAGGGACAGAGGGAAACCGAGAGGAATGGCTACTTTAGTCCATTCCCCTGTCGTGTGCGGAGGGTGAGATGTGACCAACAGCAGACCAGCAGTGTTATTGGCCTGTACCATGTCATGCTAACTCGCTCTATCAAAACCAAGTGATTTATGGGGGCCTAAAAGCTCTGCACGTTATGTATCCCACAGGCAATATAAAACTCCCAAGTACCACTGAATCCGACAAACACTGCATTCATAAAACAAGCCTCATGTAGTAAGAGTTAAATACTGTGCACCCTACTTTATAATCTCAGGCTAAGAGACAGACAACAGCATTTAACGTGTCTTGTGTCTATGTGTCCTAATGAGGACAGAGTAGAGGATCTACATTCCTCGTGTGCATATGGCTCATTGTGCAGAGGCTTTACTCACTCATCCTTCCTTAGCTGTATGATTAGGAGGATAAGGGTCAGGGTGGCTACTGCAAAATCACATAAAGTATAAATACACTAATTTATGTTGCAAATGCCTTATCTTAAAGAATAGCTTAAACGGCCATTTTGGTAGTTCTACCCATCCAAAGCATGCCATCTTTTTTGTATCGACTGCTTTATATCCAGAAATGTCACCATTTAATTTAAATTAGCTATTTAAGTTAAACATGAATTCAAAAGTGTTTTTAACTGGGTTATTACATCATGACATTACTTCTAATGTCTTCCTCTTACTCAAACAAACTGTCATGTGTTTGTTGCATGGTAATGCACTTGAAAGCAAGTGCTGTCCTTTTTCACATGTTCTTTCTTCATCCATGGACAGTAATATGCCTACTTCTTAGAGTCAACTGCCATAAGGCTTTGTGAAAGCTGTATTTTAGGAACAATAGAAGAAGAAGAAAAATAATAAGCAAATGGGTTTGTGTGAGAGTTTCTAACAGCTTCTGTATTTGACTCAGGAAAAAAAAACACCTTTAATGTTCATGTTAGTAGATTGTTTATCTCAAGCAAGTCTCCTCAGGTTCATGTACATAACATATATAAATGGTTGCTTGGAAGGTTAGACATTATGAGCTTAGTGTTTTAAAAATGTTAAAATACCAGCAGGGCCATTCAAGCCAGGAGAAATCTCTTTTAGGATAGTCTTGTCTCAAACAGGTCAATATTTGCTCTCTTCTTTAATGTATGAAATCACACCAGGCTTTGTGTCGGGGGCTCTTTTAGCACGCTGACTTCCCCTCCACTGCAAGGTCCTGACCCCATCACAAGAGCCCAGAGCCCAGGGAGAAAAACCCAACTCTGTTCCAGTTTCATTTAACACACCTAACACCCCTGCCTGGAATAACTGGACTAGCACCTCTCACCGCCTTCTCGTGGCCCTGCTGTTAAGTTTGTTTGTGTTACCTTTCCCCTTGAATTCTCACTTCATCTCAGTGGGATACAGAGCCTTTTTTCTCTGTTTTTCATGGCTCCGTCCTCACATGTGTTATTTCGTGCACTTTGCTGAATCGCTGGGCGATAATACGGTGAACATGATGGGATTAGACGTTGTGGTCTTGTCAGTGAGCTGTTGAATATGAATCTCTCACTACCTTTGAAACACAGGAACTGATTCCTGAGTTCTACTACCTCCCGGAGATGTTTGTCAACAGCAACGGCTACCACCTGGGAATGAGGGAGGACAGGACCATGGTTTATGACGTGGACCTGCCAGCCTGGGCCAAGAAGCCTGAAGACTTGGTTAGGATCAACAGGATGGTAAGCTTCTCTGCTTTTCTATCTCTGCCAATAGAAAATAAAAAAAGAGAAATAAATACTGCACTATTTGCAATTTTTATGTCAGTAAAAAGCAGTAAAATGATGACTGTTGCATTTATAGTTATACTTTATTTGATTTGGAATTTTATATATGGCCTTATTATATTTTTGTGTCAATCCTCATATGACACACTTCATCATACAGCATTATTTTCTTTGGTGTATTTCTTCATGACTGAATACTTACTAAAAACATTCTGTACTACCCTACTGACAATCTACAATAAGTCAGCAGTATTTTTAAAACAATTTCTTTACTCTCAGCTTTTCTGCCTCTGTATCACGGCATCAAATAAATCAATTTTATAATCTTCCCTCTAACCTTCCCATGCATCTGTGTCTCCTTGTCTTATTCATGAAGCATCTCATAACGTGCACCGCTCAATACTAACACTGTACCCCTGACCCCAGTGATGTCACTAAAGGACAGCACTGAGGGCAAGTTTGCCCTATAGTGTTACCTTCAGTAATGCCGGGCCTCATCCCTTTGGCGTGCAGGGCCCTTTCAGTGTCCATGTGTGTAAGCGTCTGCGTGTGCACGTTCAATACAGACAGCCTATCAACATGTGGTCCACACAACTCCCAGCAGGTTTCAGGAGCAGCACGGAGAAAGAAATAAAGAAAGATCTAACCCATCTCTTTCTGTCGGATAAACTCTGTTCTCCTTTTAATCTGGAAACACTTACTGTAGAAACTCAACAGCTAAACTCTATACTCTTGATGAATGGCCATTGCATGTTTTTAAAGTGCAGATACATTTGAACATATATCAAATTGAGGGGAATGCTAATTGGTTTGAACATTACATACCCAAAAATGCTTTGTATACATTTCTTCATATTTTAAGATTCACGAAGGAGCCCTTGTGAACTGACACATCACATATTACAAAGAAACTCTCTATCATACTAATTCAGGCTTAATGACTAGTTTCTTCTGAAAAGCACATACACTTTAATAAGGTAGAAAAAAAGACACCTGAGTTCATGGGCCACCATCTCTTTCGACCAGAGGTAGAAAGAGGCTCTGGGAACATACTTGACCTTTTCAGCTGGAGTGACAGAGCTGGGCTGGTCTTATGGAGGTGACCTTTCCCCGTGCTCTGCCCACGCTGCCTGCTCGGGCTCTATCGGGCTTGTGTACTGGCAGAGTGGGA